TTCTTCTTGCCTAACCCTAAATTTAACCTAAATCTAAACCTTATCATAACCTTAAAACATATCTTAACCCTAACATGTCCTTTTCCCTCAATATGAGTAAGATCTGCGCTACACACACACACACACACACACACACACACACACACATAAATCACATGACACATTTGACACATGTGCTTGTGTGCTAATTAAACCCTGTTGACGGGCCTCAACATTTATTTAACAGTTAGATGAAGACAGCAGTTGTTTGACAGCTGAGCCTCTGCCTCCGTCCCTCCGCTCTTCCCATCATGCATTTAGTGGTCAAAGTAATGAAGGCTGCTGACTCACCTGTTCCCGTAGCAGCAGGGTTGGATTAGGGTTGTGCAGTGAGCGGAGTACTTTAAGACATTACACACACACACACACACACACACACACACATACACGCACCTGTTGCTGACCACCTAAACCCTCCTTAAATTTCCATTAGCACTTCTCCTCTTCCGTCTTTAACCTTTTCTTTCTGTCCTCTCTCATGCTTAACCCAGCATCACAGGGAGATTCGCATTTTATTCATCTTTGTTTTTGTTGAGTTTTTTTATTCATATAAATTACAGGTATAAGCTCATAATAAGGATTTAAAGTGGCTTAAAAACTCATAAAGGTTTGTGCTTCTCTTGCTTTTTAATTTTTCAGCTTTAGTACCAAATTATGTCTTTACACCGTACCAGTCAAATCTTCACTGCAGAGAAAGCTGAGATTATCCAGAGGAAAGTTATATAAAACACATCACGACGCAGTTTTAGGTCCACTTAGGGAAACAAGACCTTGAGAATCAAGTCATAATACAAAAAGAATAAAATTACATTCTTGTCATATTCTAACTTTATTTTCTTTTTTCTTTTGTAAAACTGCCCTTAAACCCCAGTGTGTTAAATATCATCTGTTGCAAAAAGGAAAGGCCGTCAGTTATTCTGTCTTACTCTAGTTTATCTGTAGTTTATTTGTCTCTATGTTGTGTCTTGCACCAACATCGAATATTATGTCTTTATCTTGCTTCACCAAACAAAGAAGGATAAAGAAACGATTTGGGCCACAAAAAAAGCAAAAAACAATGGTTGCTATGCACTTGTGTGGCCTTGGAACTGGCCAACACATCAGTGCTTACCTTATGTGAATCTCCCAGTGGGAACAGTCTGTCCCACTTGTTTTTCCTGAGCTACTCACCCACATGCTATCGTGGAACACCTGAGAATCTCTGAAGGAGCTGTCTCCAGTTGTTTCTGGAAAGTCTCCATCTTTTCACAACTTGGTAAATGAACTTGTTTTTCATTGAGGTGTTTGAAAAGCCTCGTCAGGAAGACGTGGCAGGTTTTAGGACCGAGTGGAGACAGTCTGAGGGGGCGGGGTTTTACACATGCCTGTCAGTCAGACAGGAAAAGAGCACACAGCTGCCCAGTGGCATCTGCTCTGGCTCACACACACCAACGCTTACATGCACACGCGTACATCTCTTTATCCAGAGTTCTATGATATCACAAGTGCATCGCCGCAGTCGACGAGGTCGTGCAGAGTGAGAAGGGGGGGGGGACTAAATCAGACTGAGGGCAGCGAAGAGAGAGAAAAGAGAGCGAGGAGGGGGGAAGAATGAACATGGCATGAGCTGCTGGTGTGAGGGCAGTGGTGCGCTCCCAAGATCATGTTCATTTGTTGATCGACATGAGATACTGTTTGTATTAAGTTTCCCTCTGCTGCTGGGAGGTAATAAGTGACCAGAAGTGTGTGTGTGTGTGTGGGATCGGTACGTGACCTTGGGTTCAGTACAGAGTCCAGTTGTTCCAAAGAATTCAGTACAGGGAGCTGAGAGGAGTCATCCTAAAACACAAGGTGACTCACTTATTTTTCTGAAAAGTCACTCACCCACTCTCTCACACACACTCTCACAAGACGTCATGTGTGAGGAATCCCTGTTGTTCATCTTTCACACACACACACACACCCACACATGTTGGCATTAAAGACACACTCCTGAAACATAGGTCACAAGGACAAAGGTCAGATCCAGATCAAGGTCTCCAAAGGATAGAAAAGAAGGGGATATGCATCGATATCAAAAAAACCACTGCACCAGCATTTGTTATGTTTGTGTTGGGGAAGAGTTCATCAGTATTTATGGCCCGTTAAGATCTTTGGCATCTTGAAAATTAATTTCCTTAGTTTCCATCCCATCCACTGATGCATTTCTACTCAAACATCTCCCTCTGTTTTAGGAGTTTAATTGCTCCTGAGGCCCAGTAGATGGCACTACACTTTCCATCTGTGCACCAGCAGATTCTGAGAAATCAACAGTTTCCTGTTCTTTGACAGCAGCGAGCGTCGGTTTAAAGTTCAGAATGTGTAAACAGTGAAATGGAGTAGTACTTGGAATAAAATAGGCCGCTCCTGATCCCCTCTCTCAGGTCGCTCTCTTCTTGGCACTGAGGGGGAACTGGTCTGATTCGGCTGAACTGGGATTTAGGGCCGACTCTTGGCTTCCTGGCGGATGAAGGATGTTGTATGGTATTTGCACCAATTTATTCTGGCAGTGGGAGATAAACATAAATTCTTATCATTGTATTTAAGTCCTGTCATTGGTGCCAATGATTCAATTCAAATCTAATAAACAAATTTAATAATCAGATTGTTTGCTCCTGGTCTCCAGCTTCTTGAATCTGAGGATTTTCTGCAATTGATCAAGAGTTTATAAAGTCATTTTAATGTTCAGAGGGAATGTAACTTTCCATCAGTGAGCTGCAGGTCCAGTTAAATGACTGTATGTCAATGGATGCAGGTGCTTTACTCGCTGATATATCACTCCATCCTGAATTAACTCTACGATAATATAATATAATAATAATAATATAATAATTTAATATCAGCTTACTCCACTCACACCGAAGCACCGAACGAAGCTTGCTGTCTGCTGTGAAATGATTTCTATCAGAGTTGTAAACTTCCCTCTTTCGTCAAAGTCAGGGACCCGAGGAGTGCTCGGGTCCCTGCAAAACGCTGCACACAGATATGCAACATGGCCGAATCCCCTCCCCACCTCAACCCCCACCCCCAGGACAGCCGGTTCGCTTCGTGTGTGTTGCCAGACCCCGGCGTGGCTCATGTTTCTCTCCATGCAGTTTGTCAGAGCGCACCAGTGAGAGGACACCAAAATACATACATCCAGAGCTGACAGGGGGAACACCGGAGAGTCTCTGCCTCATATAGAAGCTGCCGTGCGGGGGCTGCGATTTGCCATTAAACAGCACACGGTACCATGGTGCTGTCGTCCGGCCCTCACGGTTGCACGGGGGTCTCGAGGAACTTCTCTTTGCACAGATACGCTGCTGGATTACTGCTCTACAGGACCCTGATTTGGGAGTCGGTGCATTCAAGTGGGATCTGGATGTGAGATTTTGTGAATGTGTGTGATTGCCAAAGGACGTTTTGAGTAAAACCCCCCCACATGCTGGATACTCTGTCACTTTCCCGAGGTGATCGGCCGTGTTTGAGTTGCTGAGCTGTTGGACTTATTCTCCTCAGCCCGCTCGATATCCTCTCACTGGTTGTGTGGTTGCTGGGTGAACTGGTCCACCTGTAACCTCTGCGTCAACACCCGCACCGGTGGCCCTGTCTGGTGGGGGGTTACAAGTCTCGGCCCCCACCATGATGATCAAGGAGACGTCGTTACGCCGAGACCCTGACCTGAGGGGGGAGCTGGCCTTTCTGGCCAGGGGGTGTGACTTTGTCCTCCCCTCGCGATTCAAGAAAAGAATCAAGTCCTTCCAGCAGCAGCAGGTCAGTCGGTGCAACAGGCAGGAAGGACGAGGAGAGCGAGACAAAGAACTCCCAAACTAATAAATCTCATTCATTACACAGGTTCATACATGAAATATACACATACAGTACATGCAGCTTGTTGCTCTCACACACACACACACACACACAGTGACATGCTAGGGACGACTGTCTATTCTGAGGCAGATACCAGCAGTGTATTAATAGGGCAGGAGGTGCAGGAATAGAGTGATAGAATGAACGCTGTGAAGGAGAGCGACAGGGGGAGGACCACCACAGCTGTCCTGCTCAATACACACACTTTGGAGAACACACACACAAGCACAAACACACACACACACACACACACACACACACAAATACCACAACAGGCAACAAAGAGTGACTGGTTTTTATTAAAATAGTTTTAATAGTATTTTCTTACTTTTAAAAAAAATCAAATTTCACATCTTTTTTATCATCCCCTCTGTTTCTCTTGGTTGATCGAAGATTACTCTGCATGGTGGTGGATGAAATTAGTACGAATTAGAGTTACAGGTTAGATAATTAGATAATTAAATTCAGATAATAGTAGTAGAATAGTATAAAGTGTGGGGATAAAATCACTCATTAAACATTTGATATTTATGTGTGTGTGTTCTTCATGCTGCAATACTATTGAGTGAGATCGGGACGGATTAGATTACTGCTTTTTTTCTTGCCACAGTTTCAAATCAGTTGTTAAGCGTGGACTAACTTTGACTCACGGACTGTAACACCTCTCTCCGTTTGTCCGCTGTGTGTTAACGACTCACTCAGAGTCTCCGGCACATTCCTCACATCAGTGCATTATCCTCATGAAGTGAAGTCGAGTCTTGTTGTCAACTCCTCTGGGGAAAGTTAGCTCTTAAAGTGAGAAAATTATGGACTTTCCTGCACTTTAAGAATTCATGTTAAATTGGTGCAAGTGTGGTCTCGGTTCTCAAAATGCAGAGCGAGATAAGTGGTGTCAAACATTCCTGGATTGTGGTGTCATGTGTCTGTCGTTAAAATTGCAGGAATAGTTTCTATCTTTCATTTAAGATTCAGTTCACAAATGAAAGAAAATACATTTTTATTTAAAGCAAGAAAATATGATGAGGTGTGATCAGGTAATCAGCCCGGGCTCTGCCCCTCCACCCCCACACCTGACCTCCCTCCTCTCTTTTCAGGTCCAGTCCAAACCAGGCACGCCACCGCCAGCCCCCGCCACAGCCCCGGCCACACCGACCCCAACGCCGCGCTCGCCCAGCCCTCCTTCGTCTCCGGTGATCATCACCCCTCCTCCCCCCGCCGTCAACATTCCCAGGTTCTACTACCCCCGTGGGCTCCCTGCCCTGGGCCCGGCTGCCAACCACGACTCGGCCATCGCTGCCATTGAGACGGCCTTCACGGAGTTCGAGGAGGAGAAGGCGGACATATATGAGATGGGAAAGATCGCAAAGGTAGAAAGTTGAACAGCAGATGTTATAATGTTTGAATAACATCTCCAACCTCAATATTTACTTGTTAACATCAGACTTTTCATCTGCTAAACAGCAGGAATTTCCAGGAACGTTTTCTTTTTTCTACTAATCACTGCACACACGGTCCCACTCCTTTCTTAGCAGTGTCATCACTAATCGTAGGAAACACACACTCCTGATGTCCAGCACACAATCATTCTTGAAGTTTAATTAATGGTTTTGTTACTTGTGTCTGTGCTCAGGCTTGTGGGTGTCCTCTCTACTGGAAGTCACCCATGTTCTACGCTGCAGGAGGCGAGAGGACGGGATTCGTCTCGGTCCACTCCTTCATTGCAACCTGGAGGAAGTAAGACAGGCGTCATCTTCATCTGACTTTTCATTGTCATTATTGTTTTGTCTGTCATCAGGTTGTGAAATTGTCTCCTTTATCGTCTTTTATTTTCTTGACTTTCTCCTCTTGCCTCCTCTTCCTCTCCTCTCCTGCAGGTTGTTGCACAGTTGCCATGACGATGCATCAAGGTTTATTTACCTGCTGGCCAAACCTGGCTGTAACTACCTGGAGCAGGAGGATTTCATTCCTCTGCTGCAGGTAAATGTCACATCAACGTTGATTCTGTAGTTTTCTCTCTGACTTCTAATATTCAGTCTAAATTCAGATTTTTCTGCTCCTTCCTGTTTGTCTCGGTCTGATTAGGACATAGTGGATACTCACCCTGGACTCACCTTTCTGAAGGATGCTCCTGAATTCCATTCCCGCTACATCACAACGGTAACTGGCATAAAAAATGATAGTAGCTTTAAATGTTTAATTTAATTTAATTTAATTTGTTTATTGTATCTTTTACTTTTCTATGTATATTTAACAGCTTTAGCTTTACAAATGACTGATTTTACAGATGTTTCATTTAATTGATTGGTTTAAAAATATAATAATGAAGATTAAACTTTCCAACATGTATAGAATGGTTTAAATAAATCCAACTTACCTGATTACAGACATAAAATCATCAGGTCAGTATTCAAAAACAATAACCTCCTGTGTGTGTGAATATGTGTGGATGGGGACAGTTGGTTGAGGGTTTGATGTGTAGAGGAGCAGAGGAGCAGAGGTGTAGAGGAGCAGAGGWGYAGAGGWGYAGAGGAGCAGAGGTGTAGAGGAGCAGAGGTGTAGAGGAGCAGAGGAGCAGAGGTGTAGAGGAGCAGAGGAGCAGAGGTGTAGAGGAGCAGAGGTGTAGAGGAGCAGAGGAGGCCGTGCTCTGGTGCGTCAGTGTGAAGTGACATCACGGAAACACTGATGCCCCCTACAGCCCACTGCAGCTGCAGCAGGGGCCTCGGCCTCTGGCATGTCCATATTAAGACACTTCCTCCAGTCTGGGCCTGCTGACCCACTACTGTAGGGGGCATTAGTAGCCCAGGGAGGTCTGGGTACCAGGAAATAGGCGCTAATCTGCTCTGTACTGAGTTTAAGTGTTGTATGTCAGGGACAGGAAGTGCAGACCAGACAAAAGTATCAGTTGTGGAGCGTTGTTGGTCGGTCCAGCTCCGTTTTTAAACTGGTTAAAACCAACTGAACTAAACCAAACATCTGACATCAGATGGATCAATTCACAAGCCAAACTTAGATTCATGATCTTTCAGGCATTTTTTATCTGAAGTTAATTTGGTTGCCTCCTGTAAAATGCACTCATGCAGGTGATCCAGCGGATATTCTACGTGGTGAACCGTTCGTGGACGGGACGTATCAACATGATTGAGCTGCGCCGGAGCAACTTCCTCCAGACCCTGGCCCTGCTGGAGGAGGAGGACGACATCAACCAGATCACAGACTACTTCTCCTACGAGCACTTCTACGTCATCTACTGCAAGTTTTGGGAGCTGGACACAGACCACGACCTCTACATCGACCCCAAAGACCTGTCGAGATACAACGACCACGGTATGAACAACTTGAGCCGAGGATTTGTTGAACTGAAATTCATCGATGCCAGATGCATTGGGGACTTTTCTATAAAACACTTTAAAGAAAGAAATCAGACCTTGAGGGGAAAAAGGAAAATTTGATTCCAAAACATGAAATTTATGGTAAATGACAAGAAGTGTATAAACTTTTTTTTAATACGCTGATTTAATATGAGTTGGATTTCCAGTAAAGATCCAGAATTCGAAGCAGACAAACTTTGGTTTTGCTTATTTTCCATTTGTCTGGCCTCCACAAGCACTGGTGCAAATAACAGCAGCTGTTTGTCCTCGACGCAGCATTTTCATGCTTTCAAATGTGAAACAGCATTAAACTGTTAACTGCATTATATGACCACTCAGCCAAAGTATCATTCACTGATGTGAGTCACTACTTACACAAGTGACTACTGTACTTGTACTTGTACTTGTCTCTGTGTATTTGAACAAAATCACATTTGCGTATTTAGTATGTATTTAGTGCTGACGCCTCATTCTCTCTTCTGGCAGCATCCTCGAGCAGAATCATTGAGAGATTGTTCTCAGGCGCCGTCACTCGGTACGTGGAAACAAAGAAAACACAGACTAGCTGATTACTTCACCGTAATGGCAGCACTGAATGTGAATGTCTCTCTTCCTTGTTTTCAGGGGTAATGCGGTGCAGAGAGAAGGCAGGATGAGCTACGCCGAGTTTGTCTGGTTCCTCATATCTGAAGAAGACAAGAAGAATCCCACCAGGTAACAGTCGCTCCGTTCTGTGTGACTGAGCAGGTGTTTGTGCGTTTTTAAATCTTACTTGTGTTGTAACTTTACTTCATTTCTCTCTTTAGTATCGAGTACTGGTTCCGGTGCATGGACGCAGATGGCGACGGTGTCCTGTCCATGTTTGAGTTGGAGTATTTCTACGAGGAGCAGTGTGAGAGGATGGAAAGAATGGGCATCGAACCTCTGCCCTTCCAGGATTTGCTCTGCCAGATGCTTGACCTGGTCAAACCTGAGAGCTCAGGTTGTCTATTCTATCCCTTTTATAATCATGTTATCTTTTATTGCGTCTTTTTTATCCCCCTATCTGAACATAACATAACCACCTGTTTGTGTTCTCCAGGTAAGATAACTCTGAGTGATCTGAAGCGCTGCAGGATGGCCTACATATTCTTTGACACCTTCTTCAACCTGGAGAAATACCTGGACCATGAACAGAGAGACCCGTTTGCTGTGCAAAAGGTGTGAATCTGCAACACAGTTATCTTGAAGCAGACGGTTAGGTTTGCATGTTCTTCTCTGGTAACTCCAGCTTCCTCCCACAGTCCACAGACATGCATGTTACTGTGTGTTAACTGGTGACTGGTCAATGTGAGAGTGAATGTCAATCAGCATCAAACAGTATCAGACATTAATTGGGGCATTTACCTTCTTCATTAGCATTAGATAACGATGGGATACTGGTTTCGGGTTCCCAGAATTATGAGCATCTTCTCATTCTCACGTATTTAACTTCTCTTACCTCTTGTGTTTTTGTCTTCATTGCCTCATGTTTGTGTTGTGGATGTTATGTTGCAGGACATTGACAGTGAAGGTCCGGAGCCATGTGACTGGGATAAATACGCCTCGGAGGAGTATGAGATACTGGTGGCGGAGGAGACTGCAAACGAACAGCTACATGAGGGGTACAACACACACACAAATGTGTTTTTGCTTGTATGACAATGAACTGAGGATTATTTACAGAGCATGGAGGGCAGAGAAAATAAAAGTATAACGTATTTGCAGCCACAACCAGTTCAACTGTGTGTGTTTGTTCCAGGTCTTTTGACGACGACTATGAATCTGAGGAGCTTCAGGTCCCCGGAGAGATTGAGAATAAAATGGAAAAACTGGTGATATCAGATTTGACAGCATAGAAACTTTGTCCCTGGAATTCCTGGGCCGTACATCCTGGAAAACAGATGGGGAGCGAGTGACAGACGTTCCCCTCAGGATGGATGGACCGAAAGATGCAAATGGATGTAAAATGATTCTGGCATCTGTCGTACGATGACTCTGGAGTGTTCCTCAGAACGGACTCGTCAGTTTTGTTGTGTGTGTGACTGTAAACCAGTACTGTTCTATGTCCGGTGCAAAAATAATGCACCTGTATTCATGCAGGAAACAATGTCACTGCCTCCGAGAGAACAAAGCCAGCGATGGTGGGAGAAATAAGCTCTAAGCAAACCTTCACTGTAAAATAATGTAATTGTGAATTCTCCACTGACAATCCTGCCAGACGACAATCACTTGCAATCTCAGTCAATGCTCTGCTGAGGGCGGACTGACACTGTACCACAAATAGACGGTTGGAGTTGGCAAACGTGCACACGGAGACACTGCAGATAAGGATAGTGATATGCATCACCTTCCAGAACCCCACAGTCACAACAGTCAGCTGCTCAGTTCTACCACACACAGACAGACACTGCCATCAGAGACCGGCTGCCCGAGCATCTCGCCCGTCACTGTGTTTTTTCTCGTAGAGGAAGTCGTTAAAACCTCTGTTCTCTTCAGGGAGGACTCACGTAAAACCCGTCCGACAGGTTGCAGCAGCACCTCTCTGTGGCCGGCCCGCGTTACTGCACGTCATTGCTCGTCGTGCACGGCACGTAATGACTGGCTCAACCTTGCCAAGAGGGAGCTCAGTTCACTGCACAGCCTGAGCTGCTCTATTCTTAGAGAGGCATTATCGGCGCCCCACCTCTGGACTCGCTTTGAAGTCGTCTCTTAACCCTGGAAAAAATGTCTCCGACTGCTCGGACCGTCATGTTCCGGCCGCTGAGCTTCAGCAGGGCAGAGGGAGAGACGAGAGAGTGAGGCGTCTCGACAGACATAATCAAACTCTCTGGTAGAGTTGCCCACACATTTCCACCTGTAACATTTGTAATTATATATATGCACATAATAAGAACTGTGAGCCGTTCCTGTCCATCTCATGCATTTGTCCAGCACATGGTATGTATTTTATCTGGTAACTATTTCATTTGTCTCTGTCGTTTATGCCAAAAATGCAATTTTTCTGCCTGGAAGTCGATGTTATTTACATTTTCCCTGTAACACACACACCCCTGAGGATGCCTCCAAATGAGAAAAAAAAAGATATCAGTCCAGCCTCCATCTTATATAGGAAACATAGGAAAAACAACATCAATGTTTAACGGCAGCCTCTCTGAAGCAGGGCCCCTGTTATGCTAAAACAAACCACACAACACACTTTGAACAGTTTCCACTAGGAGCTGCTTTCTATCGAGGAAACTGAGGTTTGTGGACAGTAACGGGACACCGCGTCTGACAGGACGTGATGCTGTTGAATTTCTGAAATGTAATTTCGTTTTTTCATGCTTTCCACATGAAATCCCACTCGCTCACCATTGAGGGGGACAGAAATCCTCAGCGATAGATTTATGTTAAAATGCAAATTGAATCCATTAATTTGATTGAACCGATCCTTCACCTCTTGTTATTTACTGTGCAGGTGCATGTGTGTACACTGCCCTCACTGCAATAGTTCAGAGCGTGTCTTGGCTTATACATCACTGATTGAGCGTGTTTTAGGGACGTGTGATCTGTTGCTCTCAGTTTATATGTCCTAGTCGTTGCCATGGTGATGATGTTCCTGTGTTTTATGTGTGTATGTAATGTACGCAGACACACTCGTACGCACACCATGTGATAGTTGCAACTGAAAGGGAGAAAGAGCTCGTGGATGACCTTGAGTTTCCCTCCTCTGCTCCACAGCCATTGTAAATGTGCCTGACTGTATTAAACTATATTATTATTATAATAACAGTGATAATGAGCCATTATACATACAATGGCTGTTTTCTTTTCTTTTCTATGTTGATGGCTTGTATTGCTGTGCCACTGTGTGGCTCGTGGGGCGGGGGGGTAAATTATGTTAGATGTGTGTATGTTTGTGTGTTGGATCCACAGTGGATTTCAGTGGGGGGAGGGGGGTCCTCTGAAGCTCCGACCACCTGACAATCAAAATATATGAGATAACGTGTCATATAGAGAACCTCTGAGACTGATGCTTCACTGCTGTGGTCACAGACACACTCGTGGAGACGTTTTCAACCAGACGTTGAAGGTGATGGGACGTCTTCCTGGCTCTATGCAAAGTGTCCTGATGCTCACATGTGCAGCATCGGGGAGGAGAGAAGCCATGTGGGACTTTTACTTTGAAACTATATCTCTGCTGAGACGTAGAGAAGAGACTTCTATTTTGTGTACTTCCTCTGTGCAGAGAGATGTAACGCGAATCCAGAGGGTTACAGTATTGGCATGGTTTTCTTTCTCTTCATCACTTTGTCTTTCTTTCTTTCTTTCTTTCTCACTTTCTTTCTTTCTTTTATTTGTCCTGTTCCATGTTATTTGTTGCTTTTGTCTGAAGTTCAAAAGTTTAAATAAAGATGTTTCAAGAATATTAATTCTCCTGGGAAAGTCTTTATGGCTGCTCGCCACCTGTCTCTCACACACACAAACACACACACAGTGTATGCACGTCATCAATCCCTCCTTGTGTACACACACCATGTCCTGTAAGTGTGTTTGTATGTGCCAGTGTTCAGTAGTGTGTACTTTATTGTCTTTGAATCTGCTGAGTGTCTGAGGCTCTGACCTTTTTACCTGGCAGCTTATACACCTAATAAAAACATCTCTTCTCTTTTTTTCTGACGAGCATTAAGCACAACTTCAGACTTCAATTATCTGCTGTGGATTTTTAAACAGCTGAGCTTGTTTTCTCTTCGAAGACAGGAAATGAATTGATGCTGGTTCACTTCATAGCTCTCAGACCCACATGGCTTGGACTGCGACTGGCATACATGATGCAAGCAGCTCTGTACTGAATCACTGTGACTGGCGTCACTGTTGTCATGACAAACATGGGCCAACACAGGAAGTCCCTGGTGAGTGTGGCACATTGTTTATTGTTCCCCAGAAAACATGTTCAGGAGTTTCCCAAGAAAACCACAACTGATCATGATGACGATAGAATCAATCAGTGCCTGGAGCTGATCGGATTCAGTGACGTCATTTGTCTTATTGCATTGTCATGTCGTAACATTTCAGTTGTGTAACTTTCCATGTGGAGCCTGTTTGCCTCTGTTTTCCCAGCTGGGGAACATGGTGCTGGTTGCAACACCATTGCAGTTAATGTGCCAATATGTGCTATTATATGACTGTGTAGCCTGGATCTCTGTGCAACCATTCCAGCTTTGGAGTTGTTACCACTGGATACACTCCCAGGCTGCTTTCTAGCAGTGACCTCCAGTGGTCTGTGCCCAGCAGGGGCCAAGTGGTACCATCTGGCATTACTAACCTTTTCAATTGTACCATTTGTCTTCATCCGCTCTCTCTTTTTTCCTCACTGTCCTCAGTCATAGATGAGATGAACAACATGACAACGACCACATCGACCAAACTAGAAAGTCAAAATACAAGTCAAGTACATTTTTCTTAAACGTTATTTCGGTAATATTAGGTAGCTCTTATTAGAGTGCAGCCTGGGAGGCAATTTTCTGTCCAAACCCATCCAAGCCCCAGAGAAAAGCATCTGAACCGAACCCGGCAGGCATTACAGTTTTTGAGTCCGAACCCGACCTGAGCCTGATGTTTTCCCACAGTCACTTGCACGGAACCTGAACCAAACACAAGCCTGGAGGGTCCCACTGGATCTCGATTGGATCAGGTTGGGTATCCGCACCTTGGTTCTTATCTCACTCATGTCCAAGTGTTCATGTTTAGAAACTCAAAGCAAACCAAACATGATTGTTGCCAGGTTTTTTTGTTGCTGTTTGCTCTGAATGTAATGGTTGTCCTGAGTGGTGTAATAGTTGGCATTCCACCATGTTGTGATTTGTACTTGAGCAATTTGCCTCCACTCGAAGGTCAGAGTTGACTGGTCATTGTTTGAAATGGCACTCTGCTTGTTTTCCTCAAATGTCAGGGACAAAGTCATCAGCCAGCCAGATCGCCCTCCCACCTCCCCACCTCCTTGAGTCACGGACATTCCACTGCCATGATTGCCCACAACCACCACCCAATGGTGATGGCGGTGGTGGTGGTGGTGTGACCCGGCAACCATGATGTCACAGGATGGGATGTCAGGATTGGAAGGTGTTGTCTCAGTAGGAACACATGACATGATTTATGTTAGAAAACACAGATCTGTCCTGAGCGCAGAGCTTTAGATAAGGCTGCTGACTTTAAACCCCCTCCCCAAAAAAGTAGCATGGAAACAACTGGAAACAGATTCATCTTATCAAAGAGCGAGGAGCAGCGACAGGGTGAAGTGCTCTGGAACCTGAGGGACTTAAATTATGTGGAGTTTCTTGCTCGTCCCAGACAAACTAGTGATTCCAGAAACATGTGCTTTGGATGAAGCTGGCTGGAAAAGTCCGGAAAAGTGCGAGAGAGGAAGCAACTGGAAGCAATTCATCTTATCAAAGAGAGACGAAGAGACGAGCTGGAGCACAGAGGGATTTTGAATCAGGTGTCCCGCCTGTTCCAGACATACCAGAGATACCAGATCAATGCCAAATAAAATATTAAATATCAGTAGCAGATATGTAAAGTCGCTACCTGCAGACTCTTGAGCCGTGCTCGAGGTGCAGCTCCAGCGACGGCAATGTTTCTCAGATGGTTGGTCAGTTCAGCACTTTGGCCCAGACTGAAATAATTACTGGATGGATTGCCTTGGAATTTTGTGCCGACATGCATGACACCCAGAGGATAAATTATACTGACTCTTATAATCCCCTGACTTTGCTCTTATTTCCAGCCTGAACTTCATTTCTTGTGGCTGTGGTGAAATATCTCAACAACTGCTGTATTAGATGCATTGTTGTGGGATTGAATACATCAGTCCAAGGACCCCAGATAATTAATCCTGCTACATTGTTGATGTTGGCTCTGCCACCACCACCTCAAAGATTTCACTTTTACAGTAAAATATCTTGAGGTCTGTTAATATGATTCACTCTTTGTGATTTGGGTGTAATATCTCATAATGATTTATGGGAATTAACAGGGTGGAACATTCTGACACAAAGCAGAATGAAAACATGATATGAAATATACATATCAGCAAATTCTGTGACCTAGCGACATTTAGCAAGGTTTTGAGCATGCTAGCAACTTTCCGTTGAAAATAGTTCTTTAGAGTTTTTCCAACTACTTCCTAGTTTTTCAACCACGTCCCCAATTCTGTATAATAGGATTTGACATTGTCTTGTCAGGTGACCAAAGCATATTTGTAATTTTTGCCACAATGTTATTTTCTTCACATTACCACTGGGGGGCGCCAAAGGGAGAAAACTGCAGTTCTTACAGTGTAGCTTTAATCAAGAATAAAATTAATATAAAATTGAAATCATAATAGTACGACTTTTTCATTTACAGTGTAAGTTTATAAACTGAAACTCTAATGTTCATGGGAAAAAGTATGTGTTCCTTAAAATGTGCAACTTACTTAAACTATTACAGAGGAACATAATGAATTCAGTGCATTTTACTACTGTACTGTATCTTGTATATATATACAACTGTAATTGTATTCTTCTTCCCACATCCATTTTCTTTTCATGTCTCTTTTCAGACAACACACGTCTGCACCTATGGTCTACACACATATAAGCCCCTATCTATTCCAATGAAATGCAATTGACGACATGCACATACAAACATGCACAGACACACCACAGAAACAGGCAAAGTGTTTGATGGTCCAACCAGCTGCCTTGCAGAACTCGAAGAAAAAAGAGAAAAGGGGGTCGAGAGACGTTGACAAACAGACGGGAGAGAGGAGAGAAAGAGAGAGACGGAGACAGAGATAAAGAAAAGAGAGGCACGTCTGCTCTTGTTGGTGTGCTCAGATCTTTGAACTCATGATGAGCCAAATGCATCTACTGGAGGAAGAACCACACACACACACACACACACACACACACACACACACACACACACACCCCACCAAATTCCATCCACCTTTTCTCTCCGGCCAGACATCCGTTATCATCAGTCACCTGCATATCTAGCGTTTCATTCCACTTTCTAGTGAACATATGCACACACGCTCTTATGTAGACACAACATGCACACAACTTTATACAGAAACACATACACACACACACACACACATGCAAGTCAGAGTGGAGCGAGGGCGTAATTAACATCTAGAAAACCACACTTATTCCGCTTTCTCTTCTTTTCTCTGCACTACAAGAATATACAGTGCACACTATCATATGGCTGGACATATTCCACTTACTTCAAAGACCTGTGCTGAACTGAGTGTGCATGATTACAGGGAGGACTTGCTTTAAAGGGCTTTGGAGAAGAGAAAAAATCTGAGAGGGAGAGACGGGGAGAGAGAAGGGGGAGACAGAGAGAGAGAGAGAGAGAAAGCAGCTGGGTTGGTGGTAAACATCTGGTGGCTGTGGAGGCCTGACCCTGACATACAGGGGAAATAACTGCATCGCCGTTCTAAGATCTGCCTCCTTTAGTTTGTCCTCCACTGATCCGATGGAATGTGACTGGACGTCTGTAAAAGTGGTAAAGATATATGTCACGTAAGGCTGCTCCACTGTGGCTTTGCTTCCATTCATCCAAAATCTATAATGTTGTTTAATTCACACACACAAATGTACAAAACTATTACACAACATATGAAATATTTTCTAATTTTCTGTAATATCAATATTAAAAGTTGTCTCTGTATTTTAATGAAACAATCATATATTAGACAATTAAAACGTAATGAATATGGATAAATATTGGATAATACTCGTTCACTGCAGTAGTTCTGCAGTTAGGGGGCTCCACAGTCTGTCTGTGCCCACTGTGTTTAACCTGACTTGTGTTTGAGGTGTGAGAGCAGGATGTTTTCTTTACCTGTGATATCAGCTGCCTCTTTAAGATGATTTCTAATGTATTTAAATTCAACAGAACTGAATTGAATTCCTCGCTGACACACCATCCTGCTGCAGGGCCACTTTTTTTTTTTTTTTACAGGCTTAGAATTATACCAGTGGCTGTTTTCTCAGAGCAGTTGCTGGAATGTTTGTGTGTGGGTGTGTGTGTGTGCCAGCAAAGAGAAATCTAGAACTCAAGGGCAATGAGTGTATTTGGCTGAGTGTACTTACAAGGGAAGAGGTTGATTACAGCTGAAGACGAACAAGTACATAACGGACGGAAACACTGCTGCTCAGCTTGTTTTCGTATCACTTGCACTTGTTCTTTATGCTGATGTCAATCAAAACCATGATCCAGAAAACTCACCAGGTTTTAAATCAAAACATCCAAGTGTGGTTCAAGCTTTCTGTCCATGGCTGTCTTTGTTTTAGAGTTGATTTTAAAACATAGCGCTTGCATGGCTTTGGTCTGCTGAGCTACTAAATCAGTCCTGACCAGCCCACAGCTTGAGATAAAGCCCCGCCAAATATTCCTCAGTCAGGCTGAAGACAAAGGGGGACAGGGCCTCTGCTGACGGAGCCCTAACTGTCTGGATGAGTTTATCTGAGGAACTCGGAAAACTCACTTTTACAATGACTTTTACATAAAGGTTTGTATGTGTCCCTTTTGTTCTTCTCTTTTCAGTGTGTTTTGCGTCTTCTTTGCCTTTAAAGTTTATTTTTTCACTCTTGAATTTCGATAATTTTTTCGTCTCTGTCTGTGTCAAACACTTTGTAACAGTTGTTTTGAAATGTGCTGTAAAGATAATTTTATAATTATGCAACAATTGCTTTGTCATTTCAGCTGAAGGATTCTTAAAATTCTTCAGTCTGGACCAAAATCAATAAACTCCCATCTGGAGTTCTCAAAAAACCAGAAGCTGTATGAATTGTAAATGATTCACTTTCTCTTGAATTCAACTCATCGGTCTGAAATCTGAAATGCATTCAGTGTGTGGTTATGTGGCAAAACCTTTGTACTTGATGTGAAATATTTCTAAATTATAAAGCATCTGATCTGTAATTTTACTTCTGGTTATTTCATCAAAAGTTTTTATAAGTTTGTGATGGAACTATTTAAATTATGCATTTGGCAAGGGGACACTTGTTGGCATTGATAACGCAACACACCCAAATAATCTCCTCCTCAGATTAAACTGTTCATACATGCAGCTGTGCAGCCAGAGGGGGGGGGGGACTGAATGTATGTAAAGGTACAGACCCAAACACAGTCGAATATTTGTATTATCTTCTATCCTTGTGATGCTTTTCCAAACCCCTACATGGAACAGATTCACTCCTGTTTAGCTGTTTTGGACCTTGATTCTCAGTTTTTGACCTAAACATTTTTTTTATCTTAAGCACCAATGTCGGATGTGTGACCTTTGGACCTGTCAGCTGAGGGATGCCAGGTTTCAGTGCAGCCAATAGAGGGACTTTGCTCTGTTGTCCAAGTTGTTTTGGTGGCTCTGCATGTGATGAAGCTTTGATTCAGCTCAAAACCTGATACAGGCAGATTATTCAGAATTATCAAAAAAAAAATCACTGTACTATTCTATAAAAAAATATATTTATCCCTCATACACACTTTTATTGTAATAAATCTTTTTCTTCTTCAAGTGCAGTGAACACAGATAAAACTGAAGTAACCGTTTCTGGAGACAGGAAGGAAGCTGGAAATCTTGGTGTAGTCACTGACTCAGACCTTCAACGGCCACATTAACACAACCCCCATCTTGTTGCAACCTAGACAACCTATCGAGGATTGAGGGACTAAAATTAATGTTCTGTCCATTTATCTGCAGCCGACCTGATCATAAGAACTGCGGAGGTTCTCACTCTGACATTTACCTTCACACATGCACCACCTCTGGAGAAAACACGGAGGATCTGCAGAGTCCAGTGCATTTCTGAAAGCAGCTTTAGTTCTTTTAAATCAATACTGAAGACTCTCTGTTTACCACGGCCTTTCATCAAATCAAATACTTACTCATGTCTTACACTGCACTGTTATTTTGACTCTTTTATTTCTTATTATACTTCCTGTGTGTGTTTATCTCTTTTAATAATCTTTTTCAATATTTGTTTTGGTATTGTCTTATGTTGCTCTCACAATTTGTCATGATGCCTTTGGTATTTTAAGTAAACTTTGAATTGCCTTGTTGTTGAACTGTGCCAAACAAAATAAGCTCAAGCCCGTTGTCAGTTACCACCAGTAATCCACTGTTTGTTCTCTTGCTGTAAGAGCGGATAAGTGACCGGAACACACTCGGGGACAGTGCAGGTCATTTGCTGCTGCAGGTTCTGACATGAATGATCCTCTGTGGCCCCCACGATGGATACATGTGAAACCGGCCTGGACTGGATTCAGCCTTAATTTGAACAGCTCTTTATTGCAATGACTAATCCACCAATAGAGAGAGATTCAATATTGACACATCATGTTAATAAATCACAAAACAGCAAAATGAGATGTTGCATGTAAAACACATAAAAAAGTCCTTCTCTCTCTCTCTCTCTCTCTCTGTTTTGGCTCTCCGGAGGGCGCACGGTGTATTACGGTAATACAGATTTTTTTTGGGGGGGGGGTGGATTGGAAGGGGGCGGGCTCTAACGTCCATGTGCGTCGCGTTTTGATTGACATGGCGGAGTCTCCCAGTACGCGTCGCGCCGCGCCAGCAGACAGGCAGGACCCGACCCTGGGAATAAAAAAACGCGCAGCTCCGTCTGTTTGAAGATTATTTTATTGCAGCGAGGTGAGTCTCCTTTTATCTCTTCAACACGACAACTCACAGACCCGCGGACAAACCGAGGGGAGAGAAGGTGGAGGGGGGACGGGCGGGGGGGGGGAGAGACGGGAGAGAAACGGTGAAAAAGTTTTTTAAGAAGTGCGTGCGTGTTTGTGTGTGAGAGAGTTTGGAGAGCTGACGCCGGCAGTCTGGGCCACTTGGCGAGCGCGGAGGAAAAGAGAAAAACTTCCCGCGGAGTGAAGGAAGAGGAGAGAAGCGAAACTTTATTGTTTCACTGGCGAACTCGGTTTATTTTAGAAATAAAAAGCGTCTCATTAGTCGTGTTCGGATCCTTCGCAGCCACAGAGACACTGCGTCGGCCCGTGCGCCTCGGAGCCCCGCTGCCTTTGTGGTCCCGATTCCTCAGCTTTCACGAAAGAATGTGTTTTGTCTCCCGAGGACTTCAGATGGAGCGAGTGCGCAACAGCAGAAAAGAAAAAGGCGAAACAGGCTTTTCCTCTTCTCTCCTCTCTTCTTCTCTCTTCTCCTCTCCTCTCTTCTCCTTCTCTGGCTTTTCTGTAACAAAGACGCGCCAGTTGTTGCGAAGTTTGCTCCTTGAAATAGTCGCTTGTGTTGTGGCTGCGCACAAAGTAAAAAATCAGGAAATGGCCACTTTTATCGCTTGAAAAAAAAAAATCAAGTTGGAAGCGAAGATGCTGAGGCAGTCAGATTTGACAGAGGAGGAGGAGGGGGGGGGGGTTGCGAAATCATTGAATTGATAGTATATAGATTGGGGAATGGTGGTGGTGGGGGGGGTTGGTGATATGGCACTGTTGGATAACTTTCCATGAAGTGTGTGTGCGCGCGCGTTGCTGCTGCTGCTGCTGCAGGAAAAAGGCTTTGGAGAAGAAGAAGAAAAAATAATCTCAACTCCAGCATATCCTAGCATTCCTTCCAGCCAGTCTCTCTCTCCTTCTCTCTCTCTCCCTCCCTCCCTCTCTCTCCCCCTCTCTCTCTCTCCCCCTCTTTCTCCCTCTCTCTATCAGAAACGACTACGTGTCTGTTTGTGCAGGGAAGACAAATCTCTCCCTGCCTCGCTGATGCAGACGTGGAAATCAAACATTGGGTCTCCTGCTGTAAAAAACGATCGATTACCTGCCCTCCACACACACACACACACACACACACACACACACACACACACACACACACACACACACACACACACACACGGGGAGATGTGCCAGAGAGAGGTTGGAAATTTCAAGATGCAAAAGATGACTTTTATTTTGGAAAAGAAAAAAGTTAATGACAGGACTGAGTGGTTAATTATCATGCTGTCATGATTAGTGGTCGAGGTGGTGGTGATGGTTGGGGGGGGGGGGGTATAATTGGAGTTATGATTTTTGGGAATTTCATACTCCTCCTCTTCTTCTTCTTCTTCATCCTTCTCTTCTCCCTCCTCCTTCTTCATGCTCTGTGGGCTCTGGATCCAGTGGGCACGTTGGAGAATATAGGCGAAGGGAAAAAATAACCTAACACTTCTCTGAAACACACACACACAGACACACACAGTCTTACTTTTTCAAGGAAGAGAGAGAGAGAGAGAGAGAGAGAGAAGTAGGAGAAATCTGATCCCAAATAGATGACGTCAGATGACATTCCTTTGGTGGAAGGCTGATGTGGCCATGCGATTTTTTTCCTTTCTTTGAAAAACTGATATCCGACTCTTTTTTTTTAAGGGATGAGGGGATGGGGAGTAGATGAAGGGATTGGCTACCAGCTGAAAAGGTGTGTTTACGATTATGGTTGTAAAGGAATTCTCCCTGTGGTGCATGAATGGGCAATTTATTTAGCTGCCACAAGTCAGGGCCATTAAAACGTCTTGACATGGAAGTTTTTAGGCTGCAGCACAGCAGGCCAAGGTGTAGACCCTGGGAGGCAGGTAAAGCTTCAATTACACTGAAGTCCAGTGACATGCAGTTTTTGGAAAAATCAGAGGAAAGGAGCACGTCACAAATGATTTAAGTGTAACACCAACTCAGATTTCTGAAGTTACGCAACAGGTAAACTAAGGTTTCGTTTTGGGAAGGCACCGCTCCACAGCCCCAGGTCGTGTCTTATTGTTCCTTTGGGTTTCAGTCAGGGATGGTAATCTAGGCCCACAGCTCACAGCAAGTGTTGCATGTGAAAGAAATGCTGCAGAATGAGAGGAAATCGCTGCAGGTCTAAATACCTGATAGTCAGAAGGTGCTGAGCTGATCACCCCCTAAAAAGTGTGTTTTCCCTGCACACCTCCTCCTCAACTCAAGCTGGACGGGTTAATACCAGTGAGCAGTGTTCTCTGAAAGCTGAGCCGCTTTGGCTTCAGCATTGATACACAATAAGAATGTAAACAAAGCTCACAGGCAGGAGAAGTTACGAACCCCCCCCCCCACATGTGTTGGTGCTGTGTTAAGAGCAAATTAAATGAAATCAACAAGTTTGGATGAAGGATTAGTGTGGCTTTTTTTTTTTCTTAAGTGGCAGCTTTTACATCGTCGTGCTTTATGTGTGTGCTGTGGTGGAGCGCCTGCAGGAATGTGGTGCTGGAGACTCAAAACTCAAGTCTTGAGAATGTGGTGCGGGATATACAGTGGTGTAATGTAAGCAGGAATTTGCACTCAGAACTGATGCAATTGCGCGCAAGCGATTTTCTGTTTGAGCAAAATTTGTGTTTGTGTGTTGTTTTATTTTAGTACGCTGCAATTATGTGACGGAGGAGGAGGAGGAGCAGTGTTTAGTTGGGAGTCAGGTTGAAGGAGGGTAACAGCCATTGTTGCTTTGGCCTCTTTCTCTGTCTTTCACAAGAAGAGCCAAAGGGCTTGAATAAAGCTTTATACACGTTAACGACCTTGGCTTTGTAGCCGCCGCAGCTTCATCACACAGGTACAACTCACTCTTCTTGGTCAGGGTGATGGTGCGTCATCGCCCACACTTGGCTCACTCTGTAACTTTCCCGCTGCTTCGTCTGATCCCACTTAATCAGTTTGTCACTTGGTTTTATTCCACTTAAGTGGTTGACCGAGGACAGAAATAATGAGAACTAGAAGTCAAAAATATGTCACTTCTTCGGGGGGTAAAAACAACCCGGTGTTTCGGATGATTTGCCTCTGACATTGTGAGAGAGGTTATTCTCAGCCCGGTGAGGAAGTTGTTCCAATGTTTCATGAGGACTCGTGATGCATCCGTCCCTGCATCGCCTCAGACGTCATCTCGTGTTCTCAGCTTTCCACCTGCACCAGCTCTTGCTTTGCTGTTGGCCCAATAAAACCTGCAGGTTCGCCCGATCGAAAAATGAGGTCAGGGCAGGGCCAGGATGATGCTCACCGCTCTGTGTGTGTGGATGCGTGTCTGACTGGTAACCTCGAACATGTTATCCGAGGTTTACTGTTACAGAACAGCACTTGTGTGTCGGGAACAGAAGCTAGAGCAGCTATAGGGTTACACAGACAAGACAATGCATACCCTGGATAGTGTGTGAGAGCATGTGAAAGAGAGGCAAGAACAAGAGGAGGGCTTCGGATAAACCTCCTCACCATTTGTTTCCTGTTACATCGGCTTCCAGGAGTTAGGGCGCTTAACTGTGCCACTCGGACGTCTCAGAGCTGGTTACAGCTGCCAAACCTGGGCACATTAAATTATACATTTTGAAAGGTGTTGATTGATTGATAGAAAATAAATCCTCATGTCGTTATGTGGACTGCGACAATAAACAGAATAACCGTGGTGTAATTTCAGATGTTTTATAGACCAAACGAGAAATTCACGAGTCCAGAAAGTATCATCAGGTTAGTGAAAAGAACTGTTCAACAAATCAGCAGCTGCAGTTACGATGCATATTTACTGATGGTGAAATGGTCTGTTAGTCGCGGACCATTTGCCCAGATTTGGAATTTTTCCACCCAGTAATTGTTCGGCCTCTGCATCACTGCCTCGCGTCTGCAGTGTGTATAAAGTCTGCTCTCGGTCGGACCATCTGTTTTCTCTGAATGCAACAGGTGTGTTTCCCAGAAAGATCGCTGCCTTCGCTGTTACTGTAAAAAAAAAAAAAAAAAGAAAAAGAAAAGTGCAGTTCAGCAGAGTGAGTAATAAAAGGTTTTCTCATTGGAGGGTTGGATGTGAGGTGGAGCCGCTCCACTGTGAGGTCAAGGGCCTGACACCTGGAGAGCAGGAGGAGAATTCTGCTCTTCCTCTCGTCTCTCTGTCGTCCTCATGATGCTCAGTGAGGAGACGGGTTTCTTTTCCCTGTGGTGAGAACAGAACTGCTGCTGTGACATGTGATGGAGTGCAGAGGAGCTCTTCCATTATCTAAACTTACATCATCCAATGTTTTATGTAGCTTTAAAAACAGATGGAGAGCCACTCTTCATCCATGTCATTCAATTATTGGGGCGACACCTCACTTTTGTTTTCATTATTGTTATTGAGCTTTATTGTGTGACCCTTATTTTCTCAACTAATTAGGAATTATTCATTATTTCTTTTGTCAAAACAGTCATGATAGGCAACCAGCACATTTTTAGAATTGATGAACCAAAATAGCTTCCAAAAAAAAGGAATCAATTAAACGACTAGTTGATTTAACACAATGTTTCTGTACTATTTGTATTTATCAGTTCAGTTGCTCCTAATGATGCTGCTTTGCTAACCTGCTGTAAATAGGACAGTAAATTCCCTCTTAACTCACAAAACGTGGATCATACAGGATTTTCTAGACCTCGTTCAGACAGCTACGAAATTTAATTCCAACGATTTAACAATTGTACGATAAAAAGCATCCGATATGAGTCTTCCGCAGACATGTAGGCATCAGTGTTTGTTTCCCCCAAATGCACTGGTATGAAAACTCGAATTTTGCAGATTAAACAATCGAGAAAAAGATTTACCTTTTAAATTTTACATTTATAGTTCTATATAAATAATTGTATTTGTGTTTTCTTTTTATTAAACGTTTATTATAAAGTTTATGGTTGTAAAACATCAAG